GCATGGGTTCCCCGTAAGGAGAATCACATATTCTTCTATGCTTTTAAAAAGATACTATATAGGACCCATAAAATTTTGCAATGGATGTGGACCAGGTTGTGCATTTCATGAGGAGCAGTGATAAACAGACAGGTATGACGCTGTATGGATGGACATTGCGCGGTCTTGAAAAATCTCATAATTGGAAACTTTTTCAAAACATAATTATACCCCTTCTTCGTGCATAAAATACTAAGATGACGTGATTGTCTATCAAACGGCTGACGGAAAGCATACTTTTGCTCGTGGTTTCTATGAAATATATTTGAAATTGCAAGACCATCGAAAATCAGTGTGAAAAAAGCATGCTACCTAAGCAGTCATTTATTGCCGAATATGGTTTCTACGGGAGATTTAAATGCAGTGGATTCGAAAACTGATGTCCTGCCGAGTCTGAAATATTACAGAATTATGCCATAAGAAAATCAGTTTTGCAACCACGCTTAAGTAATCCTTCCTAATCGAAATCGCATTTCAGAATTTCAGTCGATATTTTATGAGATCGGTCATGCTACGACAACTTTCGCACCGTACCATTTCAATAAACGATATGGACATGTGGAAGGCGGCGTGACTGCGTCAGTTCTTCATGTGCAACGGTATTGCAGTACTTAATGGGTTACTTTGTCGAAAGCACTGGAAACATTTCCAACTTCTTTTTAATTATACGCAATGTTTATTTCGTCGACGCTCACATAATCAATGGGTACCAGCGTAAGCGATTTTAATAGGATGATATTCAACTTATATGATGGACAGTTAACTTGCGGTCTCTCCTGTGAGTTTTCGGTCGGTGTCTCATCGCGGAGATGACAAAACAGTGATCCGTCCAGTCGCCGGCATCGCAGATAATCTTGGTCACCTGCACGTCCTGTCGATCTCGCATGCTGATGTGAACGTAGTCCAGTAGGTGCCGGTGTCGAAAGTAGTGTGACCGACAAGACAAAGATTTCCAACCATAAGTCAGGGAAGACGGAGTGAGTTGGACAGCCTGCACTGTTTTGGAAGTGCGTACACAAAGGCTCTGTAGGCAGTCGCTGCGAGCGCGCTCTCCAGGCAAGTTGTTGTCTGTGTCCGCCTTCGAGGTGCTGAGACCTAGCGCGTGTGTGCGCCTTTTTTTGTCTCCGCGTCCGCCAGCCAATCAGAGGGGGGACGGCATTAGTTGGTCTGCAGCATTCGCGAAGCTAGTGACAAGCCTCGCGCGGCCCCGCAGCGTATCAACAAGGAGTGAGAGGCGGACAGAAAGGCAGAGTGACAAAGGTGGAGGACAAGGAGACGCAAACTGCCACATCGGTCCCGAGATCGGAATGCATCCGGGTTGCCTTCTCCTGCGTAGGGAGGCGAAAGGAGGTGTTGCACAGGATGCAGTGCTGCGCGCAGGTTTTCAGAAGGAGGAGTACATTTTCTTTGCAGCTATCTAGCTCCCGGAACTCACTCTGGCAGCCCAGGGGACGGGGTGAGACTTGGGTTTTGTATTTGCTGTATTTGTATTTGCTGAGCTGTAAAATTCCGACTCAAGGTCTACTTGCCGATGTCGAGCTCCCAAAAAATACATTTGAGCTATAAAACTAAGCATGATTTATTCTCCCAGGTTAAAGTAAATATTTTTGAAATCCTCGTGCTTATGCCGATTCAAGTGTAAGAAGTACTCCTTAAATGCACTATTGAAGCAACCTTACAAAATGTAGGTTTTACCTCTCCTAGGTTACTGTTAAATGCTTTTGGCATAATGTCATATGCTGGCCGAAAAAGGCTTAAATGCCTTTAAAGACGCTTTATTATATCTTTAGCTAAATGCAACAGTCTCCAGGATTCATTCGACGAATTGAACAATATACTAAATCCAAGATCCAACATGAGCAGAAGACACCAAAATGTTCTTATTCAAAGTCCTAATTCGCCTGCACATATTAAAAATAAATATGCTAACAAACCACAACGACCCCCCGGGACAATGAATATGGCAAAACTACCATGAAATTCCTATAATTCAGAAAGTTTCAACGATTAAACTTCCATTCCATGAGATATGAGCCTACATGGAATGCTTTCCTAAGTTCTATTCGAAAAGGTCGAAACCTAGTGGAAGTTAAAATATAAACCAAGGAATTTACTGTAACCTGTAATAAAAATACATTTTTAAATAGGATAAGGCACTTTATGAGTCAGTTTTTTAACATAGAATTTGAACTGAGAGGCAAACGATGACGCCAGTCACCGGAAGAACATTAAATTATGGACCTTAAAAACCCTAAGATGCACTGTCTCATGAAACGTTAACCTAAATTTGAAATATGTTTTCAATTTGAAAAATTAGTTTAGTAGGGTTGTGACATCAATAAGCATGTCGCATAATGCCAGAATAGTAAAATCACATCAGGAGTCCGGCTGTCAAGCCAACTCCTTATCGATCACGTGCGCAGACTACACTCCGTAAAATCGACCAATTAATTAGCATGAATTTCCCTCATTGTAAGAGAAAGAAAGAGAGAGAGAGAGAGAGAGAGAGAGAGAGAGAGAGAGAGAGAGAGAGAGAGGAATTCGCTTTATTGACTTAAGATGTCCCTATAAATTCAAATATATGACGTAGATAACATTCAAACGGACATTCTTTCTCTTACCCATTTTGTAGCAAATTAAGTCCATTTCTAATTTCATTCTTAAAGAAAGAGTATTTTCAGACTTTTAAATGCTTTTAAACGTGAGATCTTTCCAGATCGTGAAATGTCCATTCAATCAGCATCGCACAAGCACATTTATTGATGCTGATTGTAAAGTGGGCGGCTTGGTTCACATCCATTACACAATTTCAATGGTATGCATACATGTATGAATTTCTTTACAGAGAAAGCAAGCAGGTGGTAGTTTGGAAGTCCTAAATGCAGACCTAACGGCATTTCAGTCTCACAATTATTCAACTAATGAGAAATTTTTTTAAAAAAACAAGAGATACTCTTTCTTTGAATGTAAAACTTGAGGAATACCTAGTTTGATACCAAATGAATAAAAGAATATTTTTGGGTATGTTTTCTGCAACATATGCTTGAATTTATACGAGCACTGGCAATCAGTGGGAAAAGTTTATACTACTTGAGTTGTAATTTTTTACGGACTGTGATTTATGCAGGCGGCCGATAAGGAGCTGGGTTGAAAGCCAGAATCCTGACGCGACCTGAATATTTTGGCATTATGCGACATGGAAATTACTATCCCAACCCTACTTAAGTAGTCTTTAGAATCCGAAAACGCATTCCAGAATTTCGGTTAACATTTCCCCAGATAGCACATGTATTATAAATATGTGCTGGACATAAAACATTACAGGAATCCTCTCTCTCCTTTTTTAGTTTTCATAAATTGTACCATCACGCACCAAAACCTTCTCAAGAACAAATGCTAATATACCTTCAATAAACCGATGCAGGTTAGTCATCCGCAAGCCCATAAAAGACAAAACCAAGTCTATTTGTAATACCATATCATCAGAGACAACATGCTGGCTGATGAAATGTAATTTCCGATTCCTCTGACAGGTACTGACCGCTGAACGTTCCCTGTTCTTAATCCACAATCATCTTTTTCAGACATAAGTCCAACTAACTATAATTAATCAGCCGGATGACACAGACCAGCGGTGTGATCGACTTTAAGCGACTGAAAGGAAATCTGATCCTCGTGCCTGTAGCCCCAACAGGTGATCACTCCAATGTCTGAGAAGAAGTAAGTTTTATATTAACCAGGATAAAACTCCAATCGAACGTAGTGTTCCCCCCTCATCAGCAAACAAAAAACTCCCACAAATCCTACTCATCCGAAATTCGTTTCTGGGATTGATGCTCCATCTGGCACTAACCGTGTTTTTGTCTGCTTACTTCCGGAAGCCTTATTCCCACCTAACTCTTCACTTGATTACACTGTCCTCGATTCGATGGAAACCCGCCAATTTGTAACATTCCCGAAAGGCGGCAATCGCTCAAAAGTTGCACCCAGTTTTGCCAAGACACTTAGCAGCAACGACTAGCAGACCCCCATGCCACTGTCGTCATCCAAGGCACAGAATAGATACCTGGTTCAGAAACTGGATGGACTCTATCTCGTGCCTAAGTCAAACCAATCACACCTGGCTCAGCAGCACAACCAATGAACCAAATGCGCCAGGGATGCAGGACCTGGACCAACTCCGCTTCGCTCGTCGCTAATCCTCATCAGGCTTCCGTCCTGGCCACGAGAATGTCCAGGTCTCAGCCCAGTTGTCAGTTTCACTCGGGGTCTCCCCACTATCCGGCACCCGCAGGCGCACCGTAATGACACTTCGTGCTCACTTGGTGCTTTTGACTAAGAGATAAATTCATATTGACCCAACTGTGAAAAACTCGGCGCCTCGGTGGGATTCGAACCCACAGCAACAAGGGGAAGGGTAAAGTACAGCCAACGCTCTAATCACTTGAGCTACGAGGCCCGGCCGGACGACGCAAGTTTAAACACATTTGGGTCAAGTTTGCCCGCACAACCCACTGCAACGCCTGGAATCCACCAAATCTGACACTCACAGTCTTCTGCTTTCCATACCCGGGAAAATTTGAGAATTTCTTGAAACTATACACCTCTGGTACCCCTGTGTACAAAAATCACAGTGGGAAATTTAAAGAACCGACGAATATCAATCAAAACGAAATGGCAGCGGCCGTTCATTGGCACCAAAGTTAGGCCAGTATTGACTTTTCAGGGCATGTTCAAAAGGCTGACTGGTTGGCGCATTTAAAATACGTTTGACGACGGCCTGGGAAACCTGCGTTGGAAATGTCGAAAATGGCCAAAATACGAGTTCAAGGAAGCGACCTAGAAGAATTAGACTCGACTGCTGAAAGAAGAGCTTTATTCTTCAGAAGTTTTGGACGTAGACTTTAACTCATCATTGCAGACAACATCAGATATGCATACCTCATGGACAAGGCATACCTATGAAAATTCGCAACTCCCCTTCATCGAGGACGGTTGTCCAGCTCTCCAGCGGGAAAGCACCCGGATCGGACGCGATCCCTGCTGAGGTATACAAGCACGGAGGTCCCCAACTAATGGATCACCTGACTGCGCTCTTCCAAGAGATGTGGCGTCAAGGTGAAGTCCCGCAAGATTTCAAAGACGCAACCATCGTGCATCTCTACAAGCGCAAAGGGAATCGCCAAGTCTGCGACAATCACCGCGGCATCTCCCTGCTGAACATCGCCGGGAAGATCTTCGCACGAATCCTCCTCAACCGCCTCAATAACCATCTGGAACAGGGCCTTCTGCCGGAAAGCCAATGCGGCTTCCGTCGTCATCGTGGGACCACGGATATGATCTTCGCCGCCCGTCAACTTCAGGAGAAGTGTCAGGAGATGCGGACCCACCTGTACTCTACCTTCGTGGACCTGACGAAAACCTTCGACACGGTGAATCGTGAAGGACTGTGGAAGATCATGCAGAAATTCGGCTGTCCGGAGCGATTCACTCAGATGGTGCGTCAGCTGCACGACGGTATGATGGCGCGAGTCACGGACAACGGAGCTGTCTCAGAGGCATTCGCAGTGACCAACGGAGTGAAGCAGGGCTGTGTGCTGGCGCCTACCCTCTTCAGTCTTATGTTCTCCGCTATGCTGATGGACGCCTAACGCGACGAACGCCCCGGGATCCGCATCGCCTACAGGACGGACGGTCACCTCCTGAATCAACGGCGGATGCACTTCAAATCTCGCGTATCCACAACCACCGTTCACGAACTCCTCTTCGCCGACAACTGCGCTCTGAACACCACCTCGGAAGAGGAGATGCAACGCAGCATGGACCTGTTCTCCGCCGCCTGCGAGAACTTCGGTCTGGTCATCAACACACAGAAGACGGTGTTGATGCACCAACCGCCACCCAACTCGGCCACAGCCCCCAACGCGCCGCCGCAAATCAGCGTGAACGGAACCCAACTGCAAGTGGTGGAGAACTTCCCGTACCTGGGCAGTACTCTCTCCCGCAACACCAAGATCGACGACGAAGTCGCCAACAGGATCTCGAAAGCCAGTCAAGCCTTCGGTCGCCTCCAAAGCACAGTTTGGAATCGTCACGGTCTCCAACTGAGCACCAAGCTGAAGATGTACAAGGCCGTCATCCTGCCGACACTACTGTACGGAGCGGAGACCTGGACGGTGTACGCAAGGCAGGCACGTCGACTGAACCACTTCCACCTTAGTTGTCTTCGTCGCATCCTGAGGCTGAAGTGGCAGGATCGAATCCCCGACACTGATGTGCTGGAACGGACAGGAATCCTCAGCATCTACGCCATACTGAGGCAAATGCAGCTGCGCTGGAGCGGCCACCTGGTGCACATGGATGACGAGCGACTACCCAAACGACTCTTCTACGGAGACGTCGCGACGGGTTCTCGCCGTCAAGGAGGCCAGATTCGCCGTTACAAGGATACCCTGAAGTCCTCCCTGAAATGCCTGCAAATCAACCCCACCAACTGG